GTAATAGTAAGCATAAAATATCGAATATTAAGGTCGAATATTATTTTGTATGACCGAATATATCGAATTAAAAATCAAAATGTTTACGTTTTTTGTTAATTGTTATTCTTATCAGTAATCGGTTATCACATTAGTGATTAGGTATCTTAAAATAAAATTAACATTATTTAAGCCAAGCTAATTTCAAATGTTACTGAATAATTAAGAAGTCGTAAACTATCAAATAATTGAATAATTTGAAATTATCGAATAGTCCGTAGTTTCGAATAATTTGAACTGTTAAATAATTCGAATGTGCTGGACTATAAAATAGTTCGATAGTACTATTCGATAGTGCCCATCACTACTGAATCCTGTATAAAAATAACAACAAATAATCATAGTAATAATAGTATCTATTAATTGTTTTTTAAAAACTTTAAAAAAAACAATTAAGATAGGTATTAATTTAACAAATATCTAAGTAGAAAACATAAGGTTGGTAAGTAGTCAAATAACGAATTCCAAATTTCTTTTTTTCATTTTGGCAAATTTGTTGATTATTTCATCAATGGATACAATAATATCTTTATGCACATGCAGCAAAGCTTATCCTGTTAGTCTATGCTGGCTTATTCTTGATCCATGTTAGGTTCCATGTTTTCAATCTACAAAAATATATTTTTGACCAATATTTTCAAGTTAAAGAATATGGAAACAAATATTGTCAGTTATTATGATTATTATTTGGGTTAGGGACTTCTAGCTCTATAAAATACACAAATATGCATGCCTTTGTCCACAAAAAAATGATTAAATACCTATGCACAACAAAAAGTACCAGATATTATGTTTAAAAAAAAAAAAAATAGACGAGTAAAATTATTAAGGACTTATATAACTCTAATAAATATAAAAATATACAATATGCATAAATGCACCAAAAAATGACCAACTAGTAAATATGTGGTAAAAAAAGTGTTACTTTAAATTACTTTATATTATCTGATAAATATCTCAGTTATGGTGTAAATGTCTATAACCGTAGCAATATTCGTGGAAGATAATACCATTATTCGTTCCACAACCAAAAATGTTATGATATATGAAGATAAACAAAAACTGAAATCCGTGATCAAATTGACTTATTATTGAATTTATTATCATATTATAGTGATAGAGTATTATTATTTATTATATTTTTTAAATAAATCGATGTATTGTATTAAAAATAAAATACATAAAATACGACCCATGGGGGGGGGCAAATGTTCCCTTCACCCCCTCAAATACGCCCAAGACCGCAGATGATCAGTAAACACTGCTAATCATAAATGTTGACCTGGTGATGGGAAAAATTGGCCTCTTTAATTGCTTACACACCCTTAAAAAAGACTGAAATGGCGCCCCTGAGTATCGTTCTGGCTCATGGTTGAGCTTCCGTCAAAAATTTACAATGAGGTCCTAAACATTATAATATTGGAGGAGATTCAATAAATAACTTCTAAAAATGTTTTTTCTTGCTATGCTCGAACTCTACTACAAATTTTAATTTATTTTTATCCTTATATTTTTTCAAAATCAATATTATCGAATTAGCATTGTGTTTGTGAATGTGATCGTTAACAACACTTATCTTAATTTTTCAAAGTACCTATTTTTATTTGTTCGATTTTAATCAAGAGAACAAAAATTTAGGTATAAACATGTATAATCTATAGCGGTTGTACCTAGTTTTATTTATTCACGTCAACAATATTTCAAGATTAAGATGAGAATAACATAATTTTAATTTAATTCAAGAAAATAATTACTAGGATTTTTCATATTAGAGTGGTCGCTTTGAGCCCAGATGCGGATTTAAGAAAGGTCATAGGCGTGGGCAGACTTCAACTTCCGGTTGAGCCTGAATATAATAAGTTCCCCAATACTTAGACAGTACCCCTAATTTTTTTTAACACTTCAGCATAGTAGATTCTGTTGTAAATTAAAAACAACGTAGTATTTATACCTATACATAGAATCAAGTATTATATTGCTAATTTTTAGACATATATTTTTGAAGTTAAAAGTAAAACTTTATATTCTTTAAAATCAAATGATATAAATACAAGTAATTTATTTCCACGAAACTTAAAATACATATATATATATATAGGCATTTTATTATGGTTAGTTTAAATTTTACTATGTACCCAAGAAAATTCCGGTCAAGCCGGGGCTCGCCCCGTGCACTTGCCTATGGGAAAGGTTTAGGAGTCAGCTAATCCACAATTATTGTTTGTTGATAAAATTGGCCTCTTGAAGACTTCTTATATTTTTTATGTGTGCTGACTTTTTAGTTGAAATTAAAACTAAACTGGTAAATGACCCATTTTCTACCTACCTCTACAAATTATGCCACTGATTTCATTTTTTGTAAAATAAAATATATCTATGCCAGACCTCATGTAAGATTCCATAAAATACGTGAAATGTCTACAATGACAATTATAAATAATCTAAAAAAACAAATACTAGGTATATGATCATATTGTTTTTTTGTTACAAGGAATATATTTATAATCCACTTTTAGCTCTAATAAGTGATCTCTTAAAATACCTTGACCCACAATTCTCTGACTTTGCATCTACCCCTGGTTGAGCCCCTATTTTAAGAATAAATCACAGGGCGATTGCCAGGTACAACGGGTGAGCCAACCGACACTGTTAAAATGAATGTTAAAGAAACGGTGTCAGTCATCGAAGAATGTAACTAACTTTTTATTCTCTTAATGACTGAAAAAGATCTCTCACACGTTGCTGTATTTATTAGTAATATATTAATGCAACTTTCATAATTTTATACAAACTGGGAAGTATATTTTCATTTAAAACAGAAATAAAATTTTCTAATTTTCAATTATCTTTTTTTTAATAATTATTTATATTTATCATTTAAAGATTACAGTGTACACTGTGTTTAATGTAAGTATTTTATGTTCAATTTAGTAAATAATATTTTGGAAAATAAATGTTATTAAATATAATATGGAATATAAACATTCAGCCTTTAGTTCTTAAATCTGCATCATGCAATTTATAACGAGCGGCCATTCATATCTTGAGATGTGGTTATCTATAGTTTTATCAGAAGTTATAAACATGTATGGGATTAATTTAATTAATTTAATTTATTCGGGCGCAGCGAGAACATTTTTTCAGGATTAATTATCATACTTTATAAGTGAGTAGACCCATAAATATATTAATAATTAATACACCACTGAGTCTTCCACATCAGAAGTATTTACAGTATCATCATAGGCGTGCGCATGGAGGGGGGGAGGGGGCTGCGGACTCTGGATTTTTCTTTAATAAATGTACATCTATACTAGACAAGATAGCGTCAACATTTTTACATTTTACATGAATAAAGTTAAGCCAGGTTTAATCTCACAGTATAGAATTGATATCTGTGAATAAATGTAATAAAGTTATTAGTTATTAATCAGACTAATTAGAACTTGCATGTAATATAAAAATTTAAAATGTAATTGATACATTCAAAAACCTTACTCCCGTGGACAGAAAGATAGAGTTGTAAATAGTATAATATGTAAATAAGGATTTCTTAGATATAAATTGTATGAGTTTAAATAGTATTTATTTTTATATTTGCATATTGAATTAAATAAATAATTTATAAAATTTAAAATATTTAATTATACTAGTAGTCTTAAGTACAAGAATCTTTGGTTCAATTTTTTTAAGGCCCCTCCCCTGTGGACAAAGTCTGCGCACACCTATGAGTATCATAATAACTATTTGTTAATCCAATCATATAATCAATAGGAATTTGTTTTCTTTTTTTTTTAAGTAGTTCCATGCATTTCTAAACCAATATCATGGTTGTCAGAAAATGTTGTTATGTCTTTCAAAAGCATATTAAATTTATCATTATTTTCTCGTTTATTTTGTAGTTTTTATAACAGAATTTATGGCACCCATAGATTTTCCAAATGAAGCATTTTTTCTCTGAAATACTTTGTTTATTTTATTATAATATATATTGTAATTAGATAGCGCTTTAACTCATATAAGTAGATTAAAAAATAATTTATATGTATGTTACAATGCTATATAAAAACACTAATAATGATGGTAATGGAAATATTAAATTGAAATAGATATAAGAATTTTACAGAAATGTCATATTACGAGGAGGCTTGTTCACTTATCGGGGGGAATTATGATCCTTGTGTCTATCCATAAGTCCATCTATGTTATATCAGCAAACAACAATGATACTACATCTTCATCGCAATTAAAACACATTGTTTAATTGTATGTTTGAAATTATGTCCATTTAAAACAAACAATTGAATTAAGATATTTATATACTTCCTTTTTATTTTTTAGGAATTATTCTTAAAAGCAACAAACATACAATTTATTTATAAAATATAGTTAAAATAAAATTATAGTTTATATGAATATTTAGTTGTATTTATTATTAAAATTAATAGAATTTGAAAGAATTTTATTTATCCCTAGGTTGAAAAAAACAATAATATTTATGTTAAATATGAAACTTATTATTCAGTAAACCAATTGCGACATTACTAATTTTCAATGAAACTTTGGTTAATACTTGTAATATTATTCAAATAGCTGCTGTATTTATATTATTAGTTACTTTAAAATCGGATATAACAATATTTTTAAGTAATTGTTAAAAAATAAAAATAAAATACATTTTATAACCAACATTTAATTTTCACCAATCTGAATTTATTTATGTTGAAATATATAAGTAGATATCAATCTAGTGTTTTTAACTTATAGTATTATTTAAAATATACAGTTGAATAAAACAATAAGCTGGACAAATGATAAAATAAGTATTTTAACAGAATTCTGGTACTAAAATATTTATTATTAAAAATGAAGAAAATGTAATTTTTGAAATCATTAAACTGACATTACATAGTTTAAAATATACATTTGCAGTATGTAATAATAATTAATCAATGTACAAATAATAAGAGTATTTTTTTTTATTTCAGAAAATTTTTTGTGAAATCTATCATTTTAAACGCATTTAAAAGAATGTAAATATGTTATGAGATTAATTATTATGCCTTTTAACAATATTGATTCTATAAAATGGAACTGACAGAAATAACAATTAAGCTTTAGCAGCTAATGCTTGTAAATCTACCATACACTTTTTGAAACTCTGCTTTTCTTGATCACTTGTAAGAGACTTCATAACATTTTCAATAATCCAGTTAACCATATGTCTCTGTTGTACAGTGCGCGTCAAGTTGGCTAATTCCAACTGATAATCCAAGCGCCTTTTTACCTTTAAAATATATATATATATATAAACTGTGTCAAAAATGAAACACAAATATATCACACGACATATATAATACTTCAGTAATCATAATACCTGATTGTATACTTGAAGAGCTCGTTCACGATAAATAGTTTCCAATTGTATAGATATATTCTCTCGTTTAGCTTGCATTATATGTTTTTGAGCTTCAGTTCTCCATATTTCTTTTTTCTGTTTTTCAATAATTTCTTTTAAATAGTCAACCTCACTTGCACGACTCGAATTACAATCTGCTTCATAACTCTATTTACAATCAAATATACATATTAATTATTAATATAAATAATGTAATAAGTACAATAAATTACATAAATTACATACATCAATTTCTTTATCCAGATATTCAGCTACAGATTTTCCAAATTTCTTCCATCCAAGATAAAACATCCCAATTGTAGCTAACACATAAGGAAACTCGTGGTCAACAACCCATATTTCTTTACTTAATACATAGGTAGTAATACCAGCAGCAAAAACATATGGACCTAGATTAAAAACATTTAGCATAAATCTGTTCTTTTGAAATAATTAGCATTTTTAGAACTTGTACAACAACCTTAGAATGATAGTATAACCAAAATTTGTCTCATCAACATTGTTCTAAGGTTATATATATATAATTATTTATGTTGTATGTGAAAATTTACACACTATCTTTTATAAATTATGTCCTTAAATTGAATATGAGTTAAAATAACTAACATAGTCATATTGTATTGCATTAACACCACTATTTTTATAGTATATTTGTTTACTAATTTTATCAAATGTATATACAGCAATAGAAATAAGTAGACAACAGTGCGTATTGAAAGCTTCCAACAGAAACTTAAGTCTGTTTGAGCAACAATTTTAACTTTACTATCATTCTAATCTGGCTCTATATGCAAGTTCAAAATATAAAAATGCAATTTTCAAGACTTAAGTATTATAAAATTAAGCTAAATATAATAAGATTTATACCTGTGACTCCGGTCTTTTTGTAAAATATTTCAAACCACTCTTCTGGTACAAATAAATACCTAGTTTTAGCTGGCTCTTCCAACCTTACCATTCTAGGAAAATTCACTAAATCTCGTTCAGGTCCATCAAATGGATTCGGTTGAGTTTGGCCATTGGGTTTTGGGAATCCTGGTACAATGATTGATTCATTAGAGGTAGTAACTGCTGGCTTGGTTTGTGTAAAGCGTACACTGGCACAAAATGGTGCTACTCGGAAAAGTTCTTTAAAATCACATTTTAATCAATATAATATATAATATAATATATAATATATAATATAAATTTGTCATAGTATAACAGTTTACCTGAACGTAAGGCCAATCTGGATAACATTGTCAAATTATTGTTTTTGGACAATGCTTTGATTGTAGTAAAAAATGGTCGGCAAATATAATAGCAATTGCAATAACGATGATGTTTAATGGATTACGGGTGAAATTCAACACAGAGAGGTCAACAATGATATGAGAGAAAAACCACTTACAGCTGATTAAAGTTAAAACATTGCTTGTAGAATGAAATATTATTAATTCATAATACATTTCTGCATCTTACTTTCTTCCATGGTTCATTGTTATCTTTTAGGTTATTATCTAGGCGTTGATTGTGTTTAAAACCGGGTTCAAACATTGAACTATATGATATGTTATCATATAGTTCAATGGATTCACACCATAGAGTATTACTCTATGGTTCACACTACACCGTGCCATATCGTATCTTCTAAAATAATTATCTCTGATTGGCTGAACCATATTGTTACATCAAGGTATACCGTTTAACCGTATATCATGAGTTACCTATAACATACCATGAAGTTGATTTTATCCAAATTTTGAATGTGTGGTTACCGATTTTAATTATAATAATTCAATATTCTATGATAAAATTATTCATAACAGAGGGCTCGGAAGGTATTGAATTTGAATGATTTTATTGTGTTATTCAATTTATTGCTAAGTAACCTTGAAATTATTTTCATGACACTATGAAAAAACTAATGGGAACATTTTGAAAGAAAACTTCAAATTTCAAGCTACTTTTTTTATTTTACCTTTTATACTTATTCCTAGAAATTATGATTGGCTTATTATAATACACTAACAACATTTGTATTGTAATGTATGAGTATATTTTAGAGGTTAAAACGTGAATTAATATGTACGTGAATATGGAGTTCGTGTTCACGTGAATGGAAAATTTACAATCACATATTTAATACACCTGAATTTACTGTCCGTGTTCACGTGAATTAGTTTTATTCACGTATTCACGTGAATTAGCGTTATTCACGTATTCACGAATACACTTCACGGCCGTACGGATAATACAATAACTGGCCTTTATGTACAGTGATCGTCGATTGTATTATCTGATTATTATTTACTTTTGTTATAAGTTAGTTACCTATACCTCCTAATATCAAATAAAATATATTTTATATATTTATATTTATTATAATTAATTATTATATATCTTTATGAAAATAAATATTCCTCAACCCTGGGATAAATCTAATTATTATATGTAACAATGAAGAAGTGAATATTAAGACTTTTTAACACGTGAATACGTGAATTAATTACACGTGTATACGGATTTTTTAAGTACATGGTTTAATAATTCCGAAAATTAATTTTACGTGAATACGTTAAAACGTGTACACGTGAAATAGGGACCACTAGTATATTTAATAAAATATCTTTATTTATGAACATTTTTGCGTTAAAAAAAATGAAGTGCATATTTGTACATGTGCATTAAGTTCCGAGCCCTAATAATAATATTATATATACTGTCTATTATATAATTTAATAATCATCAGTTATTATTTATTGAAACATATAAAATTATTTCATATCTAAAAAAAAACTGCGAAAATATGTAACCAAAATTTGATAGCATTTCGTTAATGCTTGCTTAAAATCTTCCCCTGTATGGAACAATTTTGAAAATCTTTATTTGCGAACAAACATGAGAGTTTATTTATGCGGAGGGGACGATATTTTTCCAGCACAGTTATTGAAAATTGGAAATGGATCTTTCGAAAATGAAAAAGGTTACGTTTCTGTCAATCACATGATTGGATGTGTGGTAAATAATGTGGAAGAGTTGATTTCTCCAGTTTATCCTGACATTTTTAAACTGTCCAATAAATCTTATCAGTGGTTATGTGAAAGAGCTATTATCTCTCTGAGAAATTTAACAGCAGAAGAAATCAATGATATCATCCTTCTAAAATTCGATGGACACCCAAGTGAATATCTATTTATTGATACAGTTACATCAACAGATGATGCTATTCTTTATCTACAAGAATTTCTTAATTCTCTTTCTCCTCTGGGATTTCCTCCTTATAAGCTAAAATTTAAAATTGGTGCTCCAATTACATTATTACGTAATCTTTAACCACCGAACTTATGTAACGGTACAAAATTACAAATAAAATCGTTGCGAAATAATATTTTAGAAGCCGTCATTCTTACAGAACCAGCGAAAGGAGAAATTTTATTTATTCCAATAATTCCCATGATTCCATCTGATTTGCCGTTTTCTTTCAAACTACTTTTTTTTGCAAATACTATAACCAAAACTCAAGGTCAAACATTCAGGTTCGTTGACGTAGATCTTCGAACAGAGTGCTTTTCACATGGACAATTATACGTGAGATTTTCTCGAACTGGGGATCCGAATCATATAACGATTTTAATTTCAACAGGAGATAAAACAAACAATGTTATATACTCAGAAGTTTTATAAAATTCTTTATCAAACATAAATTACTAAGCATTTCTTTTGAATCTGTATTCTTTTTTAATAAAAATATATTTGTCATTAATCTCGCTAAAATTATTTCAATACGTTTTCATTAACCATTTTTTATATTAACTTGTCGATATTATTAAATGATAGAGTTCTTCCTTTTTTTCTATTTCTAAAATTTTAAATGAACTTCCTGAAGCTTTTACTGAAACTTTTAAAATTATAAATATTCTTTTAAGTTTGCATGTAAAAACTGCTTCCGATGAACGTTTTTTTTCTTTAAAACTAAAATTCTTTAATTTATTTAAAATTAAAACCTATCTACGCTTGGCAATGGGAAATGATCGGCTATTAATAACTAATAATTATAAATTGTGTTCTACAAATAAAATTAGTAAAATTAAAGATTAAAAAAAATATCATCACATCAAATTTTTAATTGGTTAAAGTCATCTAAGATTGTCATTTTTGTTGTGTGCCAACCGTAAATCAGTATCACTTCTGTTCAACGCTTATAAATATGCGGATGTTAATTAATAATTACTTCTACCTAATTGTGGTGTAAAAGTGATTTTATTTAATTATTCAAAATTATTCTAAGTACAAATAATTTAATAAATGATGTAAATTATTCTAAGTCCTAATAATTTAATAAAGTGTTGAGAGTCTAAGTCCAGATCATTTCATATACTGCCGTGAAGGTGTTCAGCTCAGTGTTGCATAGCTAGAATCAGTGGTGACTCCAGGTGGGGCCTAGGGGCCACGACAATCCCCCCAAGGCCATACTGTATTTATAAAAAAAGGTATATTAATATAACAATTGTTTAAAAAAAATGCATATTATCAAGGCTGGGCATTAACGAGTTAAAAGTTAAAATTAAGTTAATTAACTCGTTACTTTTTTTACAAATTAACTTTTAACTTAGTAAGTTATTTTTTTTTAAGATTAACGTGTTAACTCTAAATCAATTTTAGTACAAAGAATAATGCAAATTATTAAATGAAGATTTTAGTATATTTATAATTTATTATTTTAATGTGAATTTCCTGTAGACGAAAATAATATGAAAAATAAATGTAATAGTTATAGTTATTATATGGGCTATATATTATTCTGTGAAAATAGTAAATACCATGAGAGCGAGTGTCGATGGGGGATCAATTACAAAACAACAACATAATTTCCAATTTAATTTCATTATTCAACTAGCATGTTCACATCTCGTTAGAATTAATAATATATTTTTATTAGTTTATTACTTTATTAGCTTATTATATTTCTGTGAAAGTTTATTATTTTTTTTATTAATTAATTAGTTATTAATAGTTATTAATTAGCTAGTTAATACTTTTATATATCATTTTAAATCTCCCCAGTAATTTTTTTGAGCGTATAAATACTAATATTATGTGTACAATTTTTTATTTTTGCAAATTAGAAAATTTTAACTTTAAATTAAGTTACTTTTTTCAAAGTTAACTTTTAACTTAACGAATTAACGAAAAAAATACAAGTAACTTTTAATTCAATTTAACTTTATTATTTAATAATAACTTAACTTAACAAGTTAAGAAAAATCGTTAACTTGCCCAGCCTTGCATATTATAATATGAACTATCATACGACACGCACAAGTAGATATGTAGATAGAGCCATAGAGGTATGACAGTTGAAAGAAGTTTTTCCACACTTCGGAGACTAAAAACCTGGCTTCATTCAGGATGACTGAAGATATACTATCAGCATTATGTCTAATTAATGTATAAAGTAGATATTCTAGATCAAATAGATCATATTATTGATATTTTTCCCAACTTTAAAAATAGACGGCTTAAATTTGTTGTTTTCTTTTTGTTATAAGATTTTGTAAAATTATAACTTGCCTCCCCCCCAAACCAAAGCTCTAGAGCTGCCCCTGGCTAGAACTCGTCAGCTTTACCCTTGTTTCCGGGTCCCTTATATACCCAATATCAATAGTGATTGACGCAAGTGTGTGTGTATGTGAAAAATGATAATATTTATTTGAATTTTGTGTGGGATGACGTATGTATGATAATGTAAACGATTTAATTTATCCACGTATGTGGTTATCTTAACTATCATCTCTTTGTTTCCATGTGCGTATGGTACTAAGTTAATACTACCATTAATTTTATAATATACTATACATATTATAAATCAATGGTACTAACAGAATATCCTAATAATTCCTCCAATTACCTACTTATTCCAAACTATTGGTAATTAAATACCCGGGACGCGACACTAGCAGGTCTTTCTACGCCACTGACTACATAGTATCTACATCAGTGGTTTTCAACCTTTTAACAACGCGGCACACTTCATATCCAACAAAATGATCGCGGTACACCAATCCATATATTATGAGAACCATATTTTATATACATATATATACAGTGCTCGACTTAAGGGGGGACGTAGGAGGACGGAGTGCCCCTTCTAATTTTTAGAAATTTCAGACTCCTCTACTATTAATACGTTATAATTATAACACTTAACAAGTTTTGGGGACGGAATTTTTTTTTAAGCAATTAGAGTCCCCCTTCTTTAATTTTGCCAAATCAAGCACTGTATATATATGTACACTATTTACAGTCTACTCTATTATAGGGTTATTTATTGTGAAATATATTAATACAATCGATCGATCATGATGGCTTCGACGGGCATACTTACAATAAATAATATTATATGTATCTACGATTAGTTCGATCAATTTTCATCAAATATCGATAATAAGCTGGTAAATACATAATTATAAAACAATTTATAGATTTATCGCGGCACCCTTCAAGGAAGCTCGCGGCATACCGGTTGGGAACCACTGACTACATGCTTCCACATGTAAATAAGATTGTATTTAATATTATAGTAGATTATATAATATAATAATAATAAAATAAAATCAGTTTTCAAACTATTGAGAAAAGATCTATCACTTTCAAAAGTGTATTATAATTTTGAATGGTTTTATGAGATTATATTTAAATTTTCTGGAAAACTAAAACAGATCACTTAAATCAAGTAACTTTATATTTGATGTCTTTAAGTAATAACCTATAATATTCTTACTTTTAATAGGTAAATATTATTATTATTATTATAATTTATTAGTATAATGTGAAATTGTTTTATTAAAGGCTGGTGCAGCTGATGGATAGACCATTTGATATAAGTATACTGATACTGTTTAATATATTTAAAGTAAAATGATAAGAACAATTATGTTCTCTTGGTAATAAATAAAATATAAATATAATCATAATAATTATTTATAGCTTAAACATTTTTTTTATTATTAATTGATACTTTTAAAAACATTTCTAGTTAAGTCATGGGTTGGAATATTTATAAGTTGTTGTGTTGCTGTGGTAGTTCTAATAATTCAAATGTAGTAGATTTGGTAAATAGATATAAAAATTTTTTTTAAATTTTTTATTTATTAACATATGAATAAAATTGCATAGGTAATTGCTCGAGAACAACAGGCTGCTGCAGCTGAAAAACGTTTGAAAGAACAAGAAAGACGAGGCATTAAGAATCCAGAACGTGTAAAACGTATGCAACAAGAACAACAAAAACGCGATAAAGAAGCAGATAGAGCTGTTAACATGGGAACGAGTACCGGATTAAAAGTATGATTTAATAATTGGATACTTAGTTTTATCTGTTAAACCATGACCAATAAATATAAATTAGTTTATATACAGAGAGTTAAGTAACTGGTTGTTTGAAGTATCAAAATATCCTTAAAATATGATTTTTTTAATTTAGTTTAATTTTCTTAATCATGGGGTCCGCGAGATAGGTCAAGAAGTATGCTTGCATCCCCTTTTCAAAAAAGATATATAATTTAAAAATATAGGATAGTAGTTAAAATTATCATTATCGAATTTTCTAGTAATCATCAAAAAAAAAAAATCTAAAATAATTTAGTATTGTCATACAAATTGAAAACATATTCCTACATATTTCACTTAAATAATTTAAGCATTATTTAGAAATCAGCGTATTTACTATGCAAAATACACGGAAAAAAATTCTGCTGACGCCTATTTCCTCAACAATATTAAAACTCAAAGGACTTATTAAGTACTTTAGATAAACCATGATAGTTTGATAACTATAAATAGGTTTGTATAGTATGAAAATACTAAAAGCAATAGTGATTTTAGGTTTACATCCATTATCAATCATTAATGAAACAATTCATTGTTAAGCAATCTATTAATTTTTACAATCCAAAATAATTCTTTAGTTTATTATTCATTTACATGACTTTTACTTCCAATATTAAAAACATTTGTAAAATAAAATAAATAAAGTAAGATTGATTTGGTTGACATATTGAATGTATATTGGTCATTATGATCAGAAGTGAAATTTGATTACTATTTAACTATCACACATTATTATTATTCTATATTATTACTCTAATAGTTTAAAACTTATGTAATGAAAACTAAGTGTAAAGACAATATATTTAAGGTTAGGCTCTTATAAAAATTTGAATGAAATTTTGTATTTCAAAAGAAGTGTTCAGAATATTACAGAAATTTATGAGGGTCTGCTTAATTAGGAAACAATTTATTTTAGTGGTTTACCATCACACGTTAACCATCCTTAATTAATTTCTAATATATTACTTATAATTATTTGTTTCAGTGGCAAATGAATTAGTTCTTCAGTCTTAAGTATCAACTCAACCTGTACAATTTATTCAATATATTTTACCATGTACAGTATTTTAAATTTAAATATATTTCACTTGAATTTTTTGTTATCAATTATGTTTGTTATAAATTGTGGTTTATTTATTTTTTTGTTCTATCCAGAAATTATACATTGTATTAAATAAATAAAATATATTTTGTTAAAAAAACTTAAATTATCAACTTTAATTTAGAAAATTAATTGCATTTCATCGACTTCTGGTTTTAACACGTGTAATACAAATTTATTTTATTTTTTTTTTCATGTGACATTAGTTAAGTTGCATTTAAAATATATTTAAATGATTAATTAATGCTTATACAAACAATTTGGAATGCTCATTGACTACATTTGAAGTATTGCTTTACTGCTTGCATATTTTAAAAAAAGTGATATTTGTGTCACCTGTTTAATACATTTTTCTATCAATCAAATTTAACTACTACAACTTAAGTTAACCATATAATTATAATACTCAATGTTGTCAAAGTTAACTTTGTGTGAATAGTAGTTCTCATGTATTAAATTAATAAACATTTTTTTTTAAGTAATTCAATTATAATTGATAAATGTACAATAAAATTATCATTTGCAATCATATTTTTCTGGAGTATTTGGCATTTGTGTCATATTTGAATTGATTTTTGAAAAATCGAGCACTAGACGTTGATTGGATGGAATATGTTGTCTAAATTTTACACCTGATGCATTAAACATTCTTTTAGCAGCAATCATTTGAGGTTTGAAGCTGTATTTATCTGACAAATAAACAACTTCTTTGATACCGGATTGAATAATTATTTTGGCACATTCATTACATGGAAATAATGCAACATACATGGAACAATTTTTTACATCCATTGAATTTTTATTTAACACAGCATTCATTTCAGCATGACATACTGAAATTAAAAAATTAACAAGAATTACATTATTTCATTGATATTACATAAAATATAATTGTTTACCATAAGTATATTTGTTGTCTAATGTTGATGGATTATTTTTACCCCAGGGAAAATCATCATCATTGCAACCAATAGGCATTCCATTATATCCTGTACCAACTATTTTTTTGTCTAGAGTAACAATACAAGCACCAACTTGCGTTACAGGGTCTTTACTACGCTGAGCTGCCAGAAATGCAGTTGCCATAAAAAAATCATCCCAACTTAAATAATTTTTCCGTTTTCTATGTATGAAAAAAAAAAATGAAAGAATTAGCATTTATATTATACAAAACAAAATATTATTTATAGTAATCCTACTCATTTGATGATTCCATTTCTTTATTTTTGGTATGATGATTATCCATACCAGTATTACAAAGTTTTAGGTTATCATTAACTGTACCAATTTGAACTTCAGGTTCATCATTCATATTGAGTTCCATAATATAATCAACACTGTAAATGAAGTATTCTGAAACAGTGATTATTCTTGAATCAATTTATAATTGAAATTTTCAATGAAATAAGTTTACTATTAATGCATATATTTTTATGGATTAATACTTAAGATAAATTAGTTATAAAAAAAAAATGCAATTTTATTAATTTTGCAAAAAATTGGATTCAGATATTATATAAATCAACATAACATTGCAAGTATAAGTGTATTAAATTCAAAAGTAAAAAAAATATATAGTAAATTACCTACTATGGATTGATAAATATAATGCTTTTATTTGCTTGAAGAAATACTGGTGCTCCAATAGTGATGGAATGAACGGGTCATTAAAATAATTCGGTTCGTTTGAATTAGTTCATTCAAAAGATCCGGGTGAAAGGCCCGATCATAATATTCGGTTCAATTATTTTAATATTTATACACAAGCGTTATGGATTGCTTTTGAATCATGTTTCATTCTAGTTAAAACACCTGTTTGGATATTCAGTTCAATTTACGCATGAACCTATCAATAATCATATCATAATCGATCGTTTTTAAACATGATTCAAGAGTTATTATCACTATAGTATAATACAACGAGATAGATAAGGATATTCTTATCTATTTCAATGGCTTGATATTACATTTTTGAGGACTTTTAGAAAGGGCTGAAAAGTGAGATTCCAGTTACCACCTTCAAGCAGTGGTGGATATTGGGGGGGGGGTGAATCACCCCTCTTGGATTTCCATCATTACAATACATTTACATACTTTAGACTTTATATTGATGTATTGGTAAAAGGTTTTCTAAAATAAAAAAATATCCATATTTTTCGTACAAATTAGAACAAAAAATAAATTTTCATTAAAATAAAGAGAGGATTGAAACCAATGACATATGTGAATTTAAAATTCACCTTTAAATAAATTCCTAAATTCCTCCAAAAAACAAAATCATATTGCCTCAGCCTTTAGTTATTCTAATATTGTTAATAAGCAACATATGGTACATTTTTTCAATGAGACTTCAGTTTCTATTTACTCATCTTTCAATGCAATTTCATTTTTTTATTAAGTTTTAGTCATTTGTAATAAATATTAATTAAAACACGTATAGTATATTTGTATATTGTAGTATAGTCACAAATAATTTATTAAACAGTACTTCATATTTGTTAGCCAACAATTATACAACACAATGGCCTTTCTCAACTTGCGGTATGGGGTTTAGCCATAGGCGCAACTAAGGGGGGACTAGGGGCTCGCCCCCCATAAATATTCCATGTTATACATGGCATATCGCATACAGCATACTTAACTCACAATTGTGTTACATACAAAAAAAGACACATTTCAGTAAATCCAACTTGACTCAGAATCAAAAATACAGTGTGTAATCGATAGTTGGAAACACTTTGTAACTCTGCACATATTAAATATATTTGAATTATGGTTTTTTAGATGCCTAACAAACTTAGTCATACACTTATTACACTAATTAAACTAATTTTAGGCCATTTAATTTCGAGCATGTGCATAACAACTTTTTTTTTTAAATTACTATCGATTACACCTGTATATTAACATAGTATATAAGAGTAGGGATAATCTACAGGTTATTTTAAGTTTTGGTAGAATCTGGCCCTCCAGATTTTTTACCCTTGTTGCGCTTATGGTTATAGCTCACTTACAATAATGTATGATAATTGTAATAAGACTGTTTTGCTTTGAATATTTGAATATTTTTACCCGTCTCATGGAAGAGTTAAACGAAATCATTAACAAAGTTAGAATTTTATGTTATCATTCCCCGCCATTTTAAAGCATTTGGGTCATAGAATTGATTCAAAGATTACACGATCGCGTTATTTTGTTCATCTTGTTTGTAAATATATTTTCTTTAAATATTCGTTGGTCATCTTTCGGTATATGGTTTACACTTTTTTAGCATTTAGCTGTTGTTGTTCTTGGTTATTAATTTTTATTTTTTCGCTATCTTAATTATACTTCTAATTTTAATTTTCCATCATGACAACGTTGTTGCAACTTTGTAATAAATATTTTGGTACAGAAAATTTATATGAGGTGTTGAAAACGAACAAGACAGCTACAGACAAAGAAGGTATTATATTGTGTGCTTTCATTATGGCATCTAACTATATACATTTAAATTGATTTTTGCTTTTTATTTTGTAGTTCGTAAAGCTTATTATGTGTTGTCAATGAAATACCATCCTGATAAAGTTAATGAAAAGGATAAACCTGAAGCCACTGAAAAATTTAAAGTGATTAGTAGAATACATGCGTTACTAAGTGATGCTGATAAAAGGAAGCTTTACAATGATACTGGTAAGGTATATATTGTATTAAATACAATTTGTCCAAAATTAATTGTTGATGTACTTAAATTTCATTATTTGATCTTACTACATTATGATTATATGATTTTAAGATAATATCAATTTTTAATTATCAAAATTATAACTTGATTATTTCCATGTTTCTAAAAATACAATCAGATCAATGTAATTGTAATTTAGAAACTGAGTTGATTAATTAAAATACAATTTATAAGCCTCGTAAAGTTTGTTTTGATGTAATATGTAAAAAATTTGTCTTATTTACTGATTTCCATCCATTTTTAAATGTTGTATAACTATAAATAACTACAAACATTATTCGTATAGCTGGTTAATTAAATGCTAAAATTAAGTTTTGATTTGTATATTACTAATAATTAATAAGAGTATAAAAATTATACTATTCACCTTGAAGTATATAAGTTAAAAATATACTCACAAATACAATATAATGTTTAAAATATGATAAAAACTTGAAATTTTAAATTGGCATAACATGATATGAATTTTAGATCAGTTAATTTGTGTAGTAAAAAAATATCAAATTGTTTCTTTATGTTTTTATAAATTAGCACTAAAATAATCAAATACATCTATTGTGAATTTAATGTTTGTCATACTTAAAGTACCAATTGGTCATCAATACACATATTATTTTTTATTTAATGCTATGTAATATCGTAGATAATTATACTAATTTTTAAAATCCTAAATCATAATAATTATACATAATATAGTATTTTATACACTAAGTATTATTATCATTATTATTTTAAATATTTTTTTTTTTGGTATTTATTTTGTATGGTCTAATTTTACATTTATAATTTTATGTAATACAATATAGTTTAATTTTTAAATTAATTTTATATATATATAATTTTCTGATGTACAATAATTAATTTTGACCTCTTTATTTATTGCTTACTGGCACTTAATGATTTTATAAAGTAAAAAATTATATATTAGAACTTAACTATAAATTATATAAATATCATAATATTAAAAAATCATTAATTAGTAACTATGATTATATAAAACTTTTTTTCCTATAGGATCAGTTGATGATGATATTGATCCTACATCTGCTACAGAAGATTTTCCATGGGAAACATATTGGAGGTCAATATTTAGAAAGATAACTGATGACGATATCAGAGAGTATGAATTGAAGTATAAAGGTATTTATTTAATATACAATTTATTTGTTTATAAAAAAAATCATTTTTTAATATGATTTAGGTTCCGATGATGAAAAGAGAGATCTTAAGAAAGGATATCTTGCAGGAAAAGGAGATATGGATTTTATCATTAATATGGTTCCATTTAGTTCAGTATATGAAGAAGATCGTATTAGGGAAGCATTAGAAAAAATAATTGAAGAAGAAGATTTGCCAAGGTATGAGGAGTTTACCAATGAACTGCCTTCTAAAAAGAAAAAAAGATTAGCTAAAGTTAGTATACTCATAGTATAATTATTTTAAATTATTCAAATCAGAACTGAAAATATTTTTTTTATTCATTTTTTTAAATTTTAGGCCAAAAGAGAGGAAGCCCAATGTGAATTAGACATGAAAAAAGAGAAAAAAAATGATTCCAATGATTTAATTATGGCAATAAAAAAACGATCAGCTGAAAGAGCAGAACAAATGGATAGTTTTGTAGCTCGAATGGAAGCAAAGTACTGTCAATCTAATAGGCCTAAAAAAGCAAAAAAAATTACCAAAAAGACTAAGTAATTTAAAAATTAAATTGGAAATTATGAAATAGAAATATTTTGTTTATTGATTAGTGTAAATACTTATATAAAAATAAAAATTGTTCTTTATGAGCATTCTTTTTTATATTTAATACATTTTTGCACATATACAATAATATCCTAAATAATTTTTTTTTTTTTTTGTATTACTTATATTTTACTTTTACTATGTTGTATATTTTAAATATTCGCCCTATAAAATGTGTATGATTAAGTTATAAATTCAATTCATTAGTCTTTACTGTGAAATAAAAATATTTATATGATATTTAAATTACTGGATATATTTTCTATTAATCTAAGATATTGTTAAACCTAACTTATCTTGGTTATTATTTATATTTGTTAAAAGCTCAGTTTTTTTTTTTAACCAATTGAGATTAATTAACTAATTAATTAGAATTGCTTTATGAAATTCCGAATCTATTATTTTAACAATCTTTTCATGTATACTAAAACTGTTATTATTGACGTAAAAAGTAAAAGAAATGTATAATACTCATATTTTTTTATGTGAGAGGGAGAGCTTAAATTATATAGCTTGTATTACCAAGAAAATTTCACAAAAGAACAAGGCATTTCTTTTAGATTCTGTGTGAAACAAGAAATGTATTGGTTTTATTATTATTATCTTCATTATTTAGCCTTCAGAAAATTTTTATTACAATTATGAAAGATCTTAAACAATGCATTTCATAGGTGTAAATGAACACTTTGGTGTATTAATATACAAAAAAAAGAATATGTATGGAGTTTCATTCTCATTGGAGTGGGTCCGGCTTAAAACAGAATCTTAATCAAAGTCAAACGGTCTTCGAATTTTGAGCCGCTTAGGCACTATTCACACTAGTTAATACATCGATTCAATCACAGTCACGATCCCGGGTCGTTCATATTTGAATGGTGACAGCCTAGTTATTTTACTTAGTCACCATTTAATATAGACAATCTCAAGCAGAAGTATTTGTAGTTAGAAATAATTTCAAATTTGTTTTTAATTAACCAGCTGGGGCTGTGAAATGGCAAATTAATCAAATATAAAAAATTGTAACCAACCCTAATCGAGCAGAGACCACACGCGTTACTTCTGTAAAAGATCTACATAAGTTATGGTGATTCCATGGCACGTCTCTAGATTCAGCATTCATTGCCGAACCACTCCGAATCTACTTCTTGATGAAATCAGTCTTCTGTCTTTTGTATTTTTTTATTTTAAATTTTATAAAATTAATAATCAAGAAGAAATTTCGAAGGCTATGGCATATTATAACGTTAACCGCCATGTGCCCGCCGGCGTTCATGGTAAATTATTTATTTATACGCCAAGTGTGTTGTCCCAAGTTATTCCTAATTTGTATGTATCTATTTATACTTTTGGTTCTACCATTGATTTTGTAATATTATAAAATCAATGTTTCTACTAAAGTTATTAAATTGATTCCTAGAGAAAAATTATTAGTGATAAGTTCTAATTTTAAATATTATAACTTTGTATGGTCGCCGGCGGCCGTGTGACGTGGTGATAATATGATTTTACTTCTGATGCCATATGCCTAGGGATGGCAATTTTTTTGTGAACATCGATGGTAACAATATCGATAAATTAAAAAAACATCAATATCAAGAACTATATATATATAGTAAATTGTATTTTTGGAAGTTTAATAAAGGGGCCGGACAACCATTTAGTGTAGGCGCCGAAATTGTATGTGGGGACCCTGGTTACAATTATTACTATACTTTTTTGTATTTATCATTAATTTTCAAACTAGTGGACAACGTTGCGTCAGCAGAAGAAAAAAATATTAATTAATCTTCTATTAAAAGAAATAGGAGAAGAAGACATTTTTATTGAAGAAGTTATAACAAAAAGAATGAACGATATGTATTCAACCAGAAAAGAGGAGGGGTTTTGTAGTGTATTGATTGAAAAGCATTTGTTTAGAGATAAAAACAAATTCAGACAATTTTTTAGATTAAGTTAGGAACAATTTAATTATGTTTTAAATTTAATCGAAGACGATAATCTTCATTTCTTTGCTTTAATAAACACCCGTCTTATCCTAATCACATTTTTACCCGTGTTCCCATATCCTGACTTAATTCTGTTCAGGGTGGGATTAGTGCCGCAACTACCGAGTATGCAAGGTATGCATTGCACATCGGCCCCAAACCGTTATAGGTCCCACACGATGTATTATTATAGACATTTTATTGATTTTAAATACTATTATATTGGGTAATAAAGTATTTATAATTCTATGGTAATATTAGTTCTTAGAACAGAAATAGTAGAAAATAATGCAGATCTATATTAATACAGGTCATTTAAAATTAAAGATCTACTAGACTATATTCCATAATATAAACACCGGTTAACATATTTTATTTATAGTAGGTAAATACATTTTTGAAAAAATATTTAGGCCTTAAATTCAGATTTGCATACCAGCTCCATAGTGTGTAGTTGCGGCTCTGGTTGGGATACAAATCATGTATTTTGTAATAATAATAAAAATATACAAGTTGAAAAATCTTTTAGTGTATCGGTTAAAAAGAAACAATTTTCGAAAATAATCGTTTGCTTTAAAGATAAACCATGAAATCAAACCTTATCACAAGCTGTAAGAAAAATCGTTTTTTTGCAAACCAAATAAATAAAGACTTGTCTAATTCTATGAGAATATAAATTAATGAACATTTTACGAAAACTAGAAAATATTTGTTATATTATACAAAACAAAGGAAGCTGTAAAAGAAAAGTCATACAAATATGTCTGGACAAATGAAGCCCATATTTTGGTACGTAAAGACGATCAATCCAGAGTACTTCGTATTTGAGAACTAGATGACATCGCTGCTAAAATATTATAATATTAACTAATTATTACTTATGTATCTATATGTCTATCATGTAAATTTTTCTATAACTATGGCTACCTTTGATAATCTCGATAATTTTGCAAATGTTAGCACATTGATAATAAAAGACTTATTTTATTTTCACAATGTCATAAAATCCATAGGTTTTCACATCATACATTTAAATATAAGATCTGTAAATAAAAATTTCTCTGAATTTCTACTAATGATTACATTGAATTATAAAATAGAAAACTTTAATGTAATTAAAACAATTGATAATTTATTTAATCAAAACAATGGTATAATTGTCTATATTAATAATAAATATCTAATTAATGAATCCACAGAGGTTTTTATTGATAAATGAAACTATTTACATCTGAATATAGGTGATATAAAATATAAAACTATTGCTTTATATCGAAGTCCAAATAATAATTTTAATGATTTTATTAATAATTTTAAACAACTTTTGTCAACAATTAAATCAAACAAATTAATAGTATTGGGAGATATCAATATTGATATTTCCAATGATAGTAATGATATTAACAAACATGAATATCTCAATTGTATGACTGAACTAGGTTCTTATTAATGTATTTCAAATTTCACTAGAGTAACAGAAAATAGTGTTTCGTGTATTGATCACATTTGCCCTGACCTTATGCATCAACATATCTTTGTGAAACTGCATTTTCACAACTTAAAATTATAAAAAACAAACATCGATCATGCATTTCACAACAGTCTTTAATTGCAAACTTGTGTATTTCAGTTTCAATTATAACACCTGACATAAATATGTTATGCAAAAATATGCTTTATTATTATTATTATTATTAAACTAGCCTTTGTTTGAAACCAAATCAACATTATTATTATCAACATTATATTCTTGTATTGCTTTATAGTTATTAACAATTACTTTTTGTTTATATATGTTTTAAGTTTTATACAATTATAGGATTACATTTCAAAAATATATTAAAAAAAAAAATATTATTTTTTTTACATTTTAACAATTTATTTGTGTGAAATAGTTGATGAAATTTAGTATATCATTAACAATAAATAATTAATGATTTTGATTGAGGGGGACCTTGACAGTTTTACATTAAATTTAAAGGGCCCTACAACAAAAAAGGTTGAGAAGCACTGCTGTATAGTATGTCCCATAAGTTCCGTATCATCCTTAATATCTCCATGGGAAATTAATATATTTAAACGCGGTTTTTTTTTTATAATACTTAGTATGAATATTCTGATTCAATGACATAAAATCCAATTTTTTTTTTAAAAAAATTCAAAAATTTAAAAAAAATTTTTTTATGCATTTAAGAATTTTTAATTTTTAAGATTTTAAGCCATTTTTTCGAGTATATTTTTTAAAACAGTTAAAAAAAAAATTAAAATTGAATAAAAATTGACCAAGTTAGATTAAGTTATGAATAATTATAGCAAAAAAATTAATTGTTTTACATTTCAATAATCCAATGTTTTGGTCACCTAGGTAACCTGACTTAACACCAATGGATTTTTTTTTATGGGGTTATTTGAAAAATCTTGTGTATCCTTCGTGTTCATTGCCTGATCTTCGTGACAAAATTGAACAAAGAATTCAAAATATTTTACCTGAGATATTAGAAAATGTTAAAAGCGCTTGGGTCCAAAAACTTCAGTTCTGTGTTACAAATAATGGACGTCACTTCCAACATTTATAAAAAAAAAATGTAATGCATTATTTTCGTCTTTATGTAATAAAATCTTTTTTTTTCTATTAAAAATCAAGTTTAAAAATATTATATGAATTTTAATTTTAATATTTCCTAAAAGCTCCACTAATAATTAGATATTTACAGATTGCCATAAAAAATCAGCGTTCCAATCGAGATTGATTAAATCAAGCAATTCGTGTTTCGCTAGATAACAACTATTATTATAATTATTCAAAAACATAACTTGCTCTAACTTGGTTAATTTTTATTTAATTTTATTATATATTTTTTTTAACTGCTTTAAAAAATATGCTCAAGAAAATGGCTACCTTAAAAATTGAAAATTCTTAAATGCATAAAATTTTTTTTTTATAAAATTGAATTTTATGTCATTCAATCAGAATTTCCATACTAAGTATTGTAAAAAAAACCGTGTT